ACCACAGAGTTTATAAACTATATTGTGCCCAGATGGAATTTTTAAAAAAGAAAAAAATGAGGAGGGGGGGAAGAAAGTGAAACTGGCTAAATGTTTTCTGCCTTCTATCTTCTATCTTCAGCAAAAGGGATCCAGAAACAAACCAGCTCAGCCAGAGTCAAAGTTAAGTTTATATTCCTTCAACCCAAGGATTTATCCAGATTACAGTAAATGCATTTTACATAAAAGCCCAAAATAAAAGAAACAAAGAGATCCAAAAAGAAAAGAGAAAAGGAAATTGATTCCCAAAGACAGTAGGGTATTGTATTCCAGAATGGGAAGGGTCCAGCAACCAAACAGTAAGCCATAAAAAAGAGAGAAAAGAAAAATAATCCACAAAAAGCCAAGGAAAAGGGGAAAAAAGGATTAATATTTTTAAAAATCCACAGAGAGCCAAAGAAAAAGGAAAAGGCAGATTAAAATACCACAAAAATATCCACAGTAAAAAAAAATAATCCACAGAAAGCGAAAGAAGGAAAAAAGCAGATTAATATTCCACAAAAATATCCTCAGTAAAAAAAGAGATGGTATTACACACCCCTTACAGAAAGCGGAATTTTAGCAGATAAATATTTATGTTATAGATGAATCTAGCTGTATATCCAGACATTTTTATTCAAAGGCTAAAGGGTGATCCAATTATTCTACTGGATTCACACAAGTATAAAAGGTATTCCACCAGCAAGTCAACTGTTCAGGAATCCAGCATTTAAAGTGTTAACGCTGTCTCTCTTGAGCCCAGAAGCAGATTCAGTCACTGTTGATGCTTTTGCAAGCTGCTGGAGATGAAAGAGGGAGGAAATCCTCCGCTCTTCAGTGGTAGTATTTAACAGTTAAAGGGCTCAGATCAGATCAGAGAGTTGTAATGCTTTTGCAGAAAAAGTACTTACAAAGTGTAGGTCTTTCTTGGATAATTCAGAAGTAACTCCACAACACCCCATGTGCAGGGATTCACCACTTCGGTCTCATGGCAGTCATGAGAGCACTTGCCGGTTCCTTCCTTATAGGACGATCTGGGGCTACAATCCTCTGCCGTTGCAGAAGGAGAGCCTGGATCAAGTCCTCTAGAATTGGGCCCACTCCAGGGGAAACCCAATGGACCTGGGAGCCCTCAGGTCCACTACAGAACCAGCAATTCGAACGACGATCGCAGGAGCAACCCGCGAACATGTCCGACTCCGCAGCGCAAAGGCCCTCTGCTCTGAAAAGTAGTCTTTCTCCACAGTGGGGACCAAAGCAGCTCACATCATTCTCCTCTCCCTCTTTTGGTTTGCACAACAACCCTGTGAGGTAGATTAGGCTGAAAGTCTGTGAGTGGTCTGAAAACACGCAATCAACTTCCACAGGAAGAACCTGGGTCTAGAATACCCTGCTCTGAAGTGCTAACTGCTATATCACACTGGCTATCATGGGAGGGCCACCTCAGCAGGGTACAATGACACAGAGCCCACCATATTCTCCAGGGGAACTGATCTCTGCCATCTGGAGAGCAGTTGTAATTCTGAGTGATCTCCAACCCTCACCTGGAAATTGGCAACAATGGTTTCCTAGGAGGAAATGGCTGGTTTGGAGGGTGAAGTCTATGGCATTGTACCTGTCTGAGGTCTCACCCCTCCTCAAACCCCACCCTCTCCAGTCTCCACCCCTCAAATCTCCAGGAATTTCCCAACCTGGAGGTGGCAGCCTTATCTCCCTCCCAGCCAACCATCAACATAACGCTATCTGCCCCTCTGACTTCAGGTTTCCATCTCCCCCCCCACCTGCAGCCTGTACCTAGGAAAAGTACAGTATTTCTTCACAGTGGGAAGTGACCTCAGCAGGGTATAATGACACAGAGTCCACCCTGCAAAGCAGCCACTTTCTCCAGGGGAGCTGATCTTTGCCATCTGGAGAGCACTTGTAATTCTGAGTGATCTCCAACCCTCACCTGGAGATTGTGTATATAACAACACAGTCAAAAACTGTAACACTATACCCAAAGATAATTGACACTAGATTCAAAACATTCTTATATTAACAGTGTAGTACTCTAAATCTAAATAACCATTCAGATCCATTCCAAAGACACCAATGTAAATAGTCCAATACAGTTCAACAAATTCCTAACAGTTAATAAATGTCCACAAAACTAAGAGGAATAACAGTTGTTAGATACCCACAAAGCACAGTTGCTAAGAGGTACGGTGACAGCCCACCCAGGTTCCCATCCGTTTCCTTTCAGGAGTTCATCAGACTACCCCCCGGTGATGGAGCACCAGGCTCTACATATTTCTCTTGACTGTATACAGCAGTCTATATCTATTCCAACTGGCTTGAATAATAGAGCCTCTATTATTAATAGAGATAGAGAAAGTATCTGGAATCTTTGTCAAAATAATTTTGAGTTCAAGATTAGTAGTCTCATTTCTATATGTTTAAGCAAGTCTTTAAATGTTTTTCATTGATATGTTTGTACTATTCCACACTTAGGCTGAGTTCAGACTGGCAGTTTGGCCCAATATAGGCAAGTTTCACAAACAGATTAAAGGGGCCAGTTCACACAGCCACAGCTTCCAGGCGTTCCCCAACCGTACTCAACCCATCCTATGATGATTCCCTACCACGTTAAAGAAGTACCAGGTGAAAGCGGTAGCAAACCCTGGAGAGCGCATTGATCCCACTTCCCTGAAGTGTGCACACTAAAAGCTGCAAACAAGCCACATTGCTGCACCTATGCACATAGGCGCAAGTTGCTGGAGTGAAAACAAGCCGCTTATAGCCACGCCTCCGCCAGCGCCGGACCAACAGTGCGAACACTCCCTTGCACCTCCTCCCCAGTATGCTCCCGCATCAGTAGGTCCAGTGCGACCAGGAATCCCTGACACAACTTGGTCCAGGTCTTTTTGCCCCGTCTCCCACACGCTTCATACTGCCAGTCTGTCCTCAGCCTTAGACAGCCAAACACTTATGTGCATAACTGTACTTAAGTTGCATGTTTTGTTTGTTCTTAGCATTGCTCTAAAGAAAACTTTCTTTGATATTGTTCTTTAAGACAACGGTCGGCTTAAATATCTATAAGTAACTTAAGATAGAAAAAAAGTGTATTTGAAAAGTATTTAAATATATTTTCTTGAAATATATTTTCTTGATTGATTCTGCTCGTATTGTCACAGTATTTGCTAGTCTTAGTTGTTTTTTTACTGTGACGCATTGACTTTTTAAACTGTTATTTACACATCAGGGGATAAATTGTCTATGCCTGGTGAAAAAATAGGTTCATTACAGGGTGAGCTGCACCGCGGGTGGAGCGGAACCGGGGGGGACCAGTTCACCAGCATCTTCCTGCCAAGAATGCCTCTTTCTCCAGTAATTACTCAAGCCGTTTTAAAAAACAGGTGAAATTATTTGCACTTCCCCAGTGCCCACTGGCAGCCTCCTGTGCTTCCCCAGCCTCCTGCCCCCGAATCGATATCTGGCGAGAGCAGCAGCTCCCTCCCCTCAGGGTGCAGCTATTTCAGAGGAAGTCTCTTTGTCACCCCAGCTTGTTACTGCATTGACACCATTCTTTTCCTGTCGTCTTCACACACAGCCCACTAGCTTTGTCTGTGTGATAACATCACTGAGAAGAAATGCAATAAAGCTGTCAAAGGTGGGGGAATTTCCCTATTCTGCATCAGTTTGGTCTTAATGCTACTGTCACATCATCACCTCGCTGGCTACAGGGCAACTCCCTTTCCCACCAAAATGTCCATATCAACTGTGTGACTCAAACTGTTAATCTGCCCAGCAAGTGATGGAATATTAATAGACATGTAGTCAAGAAACAGGTAAATCTTTGTATAGTGCCTAGATACCAGAATTTCTCACATTCTGATGGAGGACTCTGGAGAATCTGACCAAGCAGCTCTGACCTTGCATCTCCAGACTTTGCCCTGTCAATATGTTATATGCTGTTTGCCCAGGTTCATTCTTCTCTATGTAGTCTCATGATTTGTGGCAATTGCAGCGCCTCGTTCTTGGATGTTTCACTGCTCAGATTTTTGTTTGTTTGTTTGTTTCTCTTCCATGCACCTTGATTTTTCAGCAAACTGATCACCAATCACTTCTTACTATAAGATATTTTTGTGCTTACTGTTAAACTCCTGCACCAAATGACAGTGTTACAAGGCATCCTGTCAGGCACATTTCAATCTTTTGTCTGAGGAAGGGTTCCCCGCCCGCCCCCGCCCCCCGGCCGCGCAGGGCTCTTTTTGTAGAAGGAACTCCTTTGCATATTAGGCGACCCATCCCTAAATGTAGCCAGTCCTCCAAGAGCTTACAGTAGCCCCTGTAAGAAGAGCTCTGTAAGCTCTTGGAGGATTGGCTACATTAGGGGTGTGTCGCCTAATATGCAGAGGAGTTCCTCCTACAAAAAGAGCCCTTAAGTATGGAACACACAGCAGCTGCTGGGGACTGTATTCATACAATAGTTGTGAGGAGAATGAAGTTTTGTTATAGGAGCTGCTGATGTCAGAATAATACCAAAACCTGCTTATGTGAGCATCCTTGCTACTTTTCTTCTTCTATATTGTCTATGCAGAAGTATTTGGTGTGATTTCTTATTCGTGGATCAAATCCAAGCTGTTAACTTTTTGAGTTTCTAGAAAATGCAAACACACGTGCACAGTCAATCAGGAATTCAGTTGAGTTTCTTTGAACTCATGTTCACTGGGACATGGAACAGTTTTGCACATTCATTATCCTCAAAGTTCACCTATGCAGTATGATGCTACTTGGCACTGATTCACTGAAAACACATGCATAATTTGAACTAGCAACATGGGTGTTTTGATTTATTTATCTCTACATGTGGCTTACATTAACAAATATATCTTCTAAGATGCTTGTCTTCTGTTGTCACAGCTCAATTATGTAATAAGAAAGCAGAACAATCAGATTGAGACCTCATTACACAAGCCTTCCATAACATTAGCTAAACATACCTGATGAAGAGTATATTGTAGTAGCTGTATTTGCATCAACGTCAGCTGAAGACCTGCAGATGGATTCTATCAAGGAACCCAGGACTGTCACTGGTGCTATACTGGGATGTCGCAAGGCGGCTTTCAGGGGAGCTATGTGGTTGTACTGGACAGAAGACATGCATCCAACAAATCCAAACGTGTTTGCCTTGGATACTTCTGGGTCTAGTCCCTGACTATCTGTAAAATACAAAGCAAAGGGAGGCTGTTTAATTTGTCTTTCTGTAATTGAATCTGAGATTAGTTTTCATTCATTACTTACTCACGATATAATTATGTAAATATAATCTTAAATTTAAACATCAGTTACTGGCATACACTTCTCATTCCATTAGCTTTTTTAAAGTATAAGTATGGAAGTAGCTTAAAAAACAACGACAGTTGGATTTGGATATGGGACTTCTGAGCTGAAATCCTATACAGATGCTTTTTTTTCAGACTTGAGCAAATGTATTCTCACTCTTCCCCCTCACTTTCCCATTTGTAAAATAAAAATCAATGGTCTCCTGCACAGCTTTGTTGTAGCATTTTGATAATTTTGTTGTTAGCCATTCAGTCGTGTCCAACTCTTGGGCCAGCTCTCTCCACGTTTTCTGATCATGTACTGTTTCTTTGAGTCATTCCATGCTCAGGCTGGTGTTGACTTTCATTATGTCTAGCCACCATGTTCTTTGGTGGCCAGGTTTCCTTTTGCTGCTAACCAATCCCGGCATAATTGCTTTTTCTAGTGAGTTCTTCCACATGACATGCCTAAAATAAGTCAGTTGCAGTTTTGTGATTTTTCCTTCCAATGGCATGTCTGGTTTTATGCACTTTAATACTTGTTTGTCACCTTTGCTGTCCAAGGAATGCGCAGGAGCCTTCTCCAGAGCCACAGGTCAAATGAGTCGATTTTCCTCCTGTCTTTCTTCTTCATGGTCCAGCTTTTGCAGCCATAGGTTAGTATGGGGAACACAATGGCACAGACTAATCTGCATTTGGTTGTTAGGCTGATGTCCTTCCTCTTCCATGTTCAATTCAAGCTCTTCATTGCTGTGCAGCCCAGTGTGATTCAGCATTTTATTTCTGGACTGCATTTGTCATTTTTGTTGACCTGTGATCGTAAGACAGTGAATTCTTCCACACATTTGATCTGTTATTTTGACATTTCTATTCTTCTTGGTGGTCATGAACTTGGTCTTTTTGATGTTTAGGAAGAGGCCAAACTTCTCACTTTCTTCTTTGATTCTCTTGATCAGGTATTCCAGGCCTTCTTTAGTTTCTGAGAGGAGGTTTGTGAGAGCCAGTTTGGTGTAGCGGTTAATTGCGCAGACTCTAATCTGGGGGAACTGGGTTTGATTCCCCACTCCTCCACTTGCACCTGGCTGGATGGCCTTGGGCAAGCCGTAGTTCTGATAAGAGCTGTCCTTGGAAAAGAGCAGTTTCTGTCAAGAGCTCTCTCAGCCCCACCTACCTCACAGGGTGTCTGTTGTGGGGAGGGGAAGGGAAAGGAGTTTGTAAGCCGCTCTGAGACTCATTTGGGTAGTGAAGGGTGGGGTATAAATCCAATCTTTTCTTCTCTTATCTTCGTCAGCATATCAAATATTGTTGATATTCCTTCCTCCAATGTTTACCCCGATTTTTGACTCTTCCAGCTCTAGCTTCCTCATGATTTTTTTTTTTTTGCATACATGTTGCATAGGATAATCTTACAATAGAAATATTCATGGTCAGTCAGACTGAAGATAAGTTCTGGGATACATTCGTAGCATCTGGCCAACACCATTACATATAAATCATATTTTCTCTATCGAGGGCTCTTATTTACTTAATGACCCAATTTACTAGAATTGTGTGATTAATTTATTCAAGTATACTTATACTTTAAAAAAATATCCAAAATGCTTTACAAAAAACAGTATACAGTGCAATCCTAAGGGAGGAAGTCAATACACTCAGGGAGCCAACTGACCTTTATGCTGGATCCCTTTCATCACAACTGAGACACAGGCCCTTGAGCTGGCATGGTGGGCAGCTCTGGGGGCTTGGATGGAGATAGTTGGCTCCCTAAGCCATTTCAGCCCACTAACAGAGGCAGAAAGTTATGCCAACAACAACAACAAAAACATGATCCATAGACACCAATTATACTAAATATTGAAGTGATCCCGACTGCTGGGGCCACAACCACAAAGCCCGAAGTAGCTCAGAATGCTGACTACGGGTGCAACCAATTATCTCCCTTTCCTGCAGCATCCAAGCCCGCTCCCCAGCACCTGATCACAGCCTTTCCAGCCCTACAACCCCCCCCCACTCAGACAGGCTGCTGCACAACTTATAGAGCGTGTGACACGAGACTCCGTCTCAGAGCTCCCTGCTGTGTGGACTTACAGTGAGCAATGAAGCACTTTGGTGGCTGGAAAAGCACATAGAGGGAGTTTAGCACTACTTGGTGAGCATTTTGCACCAACACCAAAGGGGAGAACAAAGTCCGTGCTCTGTGGCTGATCTCTCCCATTTTAGAACCAAAACACATACTCCATCTCCAAAGGCAAGACTCAAAGGGGTGGCTGTGCACTGACAGGTAAGAAGGGGCCTGTTTCCCAAACCTGGGCCGAGTTCAGACTGGCAGTTTGGCCCGGCAGCCAAACGTTTCAGGAGCGTTTCAGAAGCAGATTAAATGGGTGGGTTCACACAGGCACACCTGTCAGGCATCCCCCAGCCATACTCAAGCTGTCTTGTGCCGCTTCCCTCCTGAGTTTAAAAAGCACCAGGTGAAAGTGGGAGCAAACCATTTGTCTAGTGGGTTCATTCCGGTTCCCTGATGTGTGAACAAAAGAGCTGCTAAGGCAGGAACAACCCGCAGTCATTGATAATAGGCGCTGGCTGTTTCCACGGCAGGCGCCCATGCGCATAGGCGCATGCAGTGGAGTGCAGAAACAGCCACTAACAGCCCACCAGGGGTGGGCCTCCAGTGCAAACGTTCCCTTGTGCTTCCTCTATAGTATCCTCCCACTTCATTCGCTGCAGAGTGAATGGGAATGCCATGACCAAGCCGTTCCCGGTCTCTTCCGGGTCTTCTTTGCCATGACCCCCTAGCACTTCAAATTGCAAGTCTGAACTCGGCCCTGGTTTCCCATTCCCCTTGCTTGTGCCTGGGAGTCAACCTGGCAACCTCATCTCCCACACCCTTCAGCATTGCAGTTGAGTGGGGGCAGCAAGACCAATGGCTGTTCAGCACCATGCCCCCCCCCCACCACCACAAGGACTGGTATGTGGGGAGTGCTCCAGCAGAGCTGCTGGGTGAGGGAGCCCAAGTTTTTAGCTCCACACGGGAAGTGTGGAATGTGTAGATGATATGTCAGGTCCCCCAAGTGCATCTGAATATGCCCTCAACAGGTCACAACTTGTTAAACTTCATGTCACCTCATGTACCCTAGAAATGGTACCTCATACCAGGAGAAATGGCAGAAAGACTGTAAAATCACTTTAAATGAAGAGATCTGGGGGGGGGGGATATGGGCATCTATAGTCATCAGTTTTATCAATAAAGCTTCAGACCTTTAAGACTCTTACTAGATGGTATTATACACCTAAAAAGTTTTCTCATCTAAATACTGATATTAGTCCACATTGTTGAAAGCAATGTGGATGTGTAGGTTGCTATATCCACTGCTGGATGGAGTGTGATATAATTAATTTTTTTGGGAATATAATTATACAAAAAATAGCTCTAATTGCAGGCCATACTCTTGAGTTGTTATAAGATAGACAAAATTTGCCCATATCAACGAAGGGTAACAATCACAATAATACTGACAATAGCCAAAACGACCATAGCCCATTGCTGGAAAAGTTCAATAGCTCCTCCGCTCTTTTTGTGGCATAGGAAATTATGGGAACATTACATAATGGCAAAGATAACTGAACAGTTGAATTTTAAATGCGTAGAGAAGTATAAATCAGATTTTGAGTCTATTTGATACCCTATATTGAACTATTTAGAACAACATGGTGAAATAAAATTAAATGCCGGATCTATATAGATTAGTTTCAATTTTTAATTTTTAAAGTATAATAGAAATAATATAAGCATTTGAAACTGGATATTATTTCTTGATAGTTTCTGTTAGTTTGTTGTACATAATTTTAACTGTTTGTAATTATTTGTGCAATTAAAATTTAAAAAAATCTATTAAAAATGTGCCCTAGACTTTTCCTTGGCATCTGCTGCCCCTTGAAATGAGATTGTGGAGCTTCCGATTTTTGGTGACTCAATAGCGGATGTGTCTCTCGGGCATTTTTTCATTCCTGAGGACACAATCCATGAACCAGCGAACTGAGAGGGGGTGCGATCGTACGCATCCCCCCAGGGGCCCTTGCAAGGGCTCCAGGTCATGGGGCACCGAGGGTCACCTCTCTGCCGGTGCGCTGCCAGGAAATTGAGGCATCCTGAATGCCCTGAAGGTCTCACCACTGTGTTCCCACCCTGGGACTAAGAGCGCTGTGTTCCCACCCGGGACTAAGACCGGGACAAGTGCGTGGAGGCTGAGCACTTTACACGTTTGATGGTGAGATCTACATGATCAACATTAAAAGTGAGTTGGGTTGAAACGAGCACCAGAGAACTGGCTGAAAGTCCCCCTTAAACTAAGAGGGGGGGCGGGTACCCCCCACATAATTAAAATGGACTTTAAGCATGATTGTTTGAGGGGGACGGAATTAAAAGTGATATAGGACTAAAGTAAGGAACTTACAAGAGATTTCCAAGTGGCTTGCAGACTTTAGAGACTTTTGGCAAAGCACAAAAAGACGGAGAAAGATAAGCTTCAAAAACCTAAGCCTTCTTCAGGAAGTGCCAGCCCAGTGAGTGCGGTCACATGACCAGACACAACCATAGACTTTTCAGAAATGTTAACAGAGGCTTTGCGACCCCTGCTGGAGCAAATGAAGACGCTTCATGAAAACTTTGCTGCACAGCAACAACAACTAAACGAGACTGTAAAAAAAAAACCATAGCAAACAGTAGAGAACTTGAAAGAAGTGGATGCCACTAAAAAAAGCTTAAAAAACAAATGCAAGAGATGGAAAAGAAGAGAAACTCTGATGAGGTGCAATTATTACAATTTCAAATGGAAAAGGCAAGCTTTACCCTGAGGTTTCAGGGGATTCCTGAGAATAAAGGGGAGAATATCAAACAG